GCACCAAGTTTAACTGCATTATCACCACGTATAAGGTCATGAAAAGGTTATGGTGGAACCATTTTTCGCTCAAACGGGATCTTCAAAAGTCAGCTAAGTTGGGGCGGAGTGAAAATGTTGAAAGCATCCACTTTTGAAAACGAACGACTGTGGTTCGCTTTCCACGATGACGATAGTGGCGTTGGTGTTTCTATTATAGTCAACTGCTTCCGTTGTCAAATGTGAAAATTCCCACAATTGAAGTGATTTCGATGATCCCTCATGGATGAACCTTTTCGTCAATACTCTCACTTCTTCCTGTTACTCGAAAAAAAGGATAAGGTGAAAGAAATTATCGTCTTTGGCTTTGGCCAGACTTTGATAAAATATCGTGGACTATATTACTATGCGACTGGCATGCTCCTCAACTGATCTCTTTTGTGATTCGGTCATTTGGTCTCAGAACGGTTGCCCACTATCTAACGGTGTCGACATCGAAGCGTCATATGAACCGAACAACTTTCTCTTCGTTCTTGGGTTCTAACATAGTCTTCCGTGGTTTTCGCTATGGTTCCTGGAGAACGAAAATACCTAAGCTTGTGAGAAAGGTTATTCCTGACAAGTAACAATTTCTGCTTGCCATTTGTTTCCTATTGGGTTCTCAGACGAAAAGAACGAACTTCCTCTTAGTTTGGGTGACTGCAGACGTAATGAACACTCTGAAGTCTCGCTACATTCCGGAACACTCTTGAACCACAGCATAGCTGTTCAGGATTTGTTTTATCAATATCCGTTAGAACACTGCAGCGTTTGACAAAAAGCAATTTTACAAACAGGTTTTGCTAGGAGGAATCTGAAGCTTCCAGAATACATAGTTGAAGCGTTTTTTATTACAGCAAGATGCACGACTTTGTATGTGTTAACAGTTTTGATGGCATTAAGAACTGATTTTATCCAAAAAATTTATCTGGAAATAAAAAGCGTTGATTGCAGAAACATCCAGAAAATCCGCTTTTGGCAATAAGACCACATATCGTGGAAAATTATAATGAACTCTTACATTCAAGCACCTACCTATGGTGATTCCCCGCAACGGTTTACCGCCTCATCGTAGCTGGGAGGTGTTCCAGGGCGTCGGACTGCGATGCACAGCGGGACGATTCGTCCCTCCGGTAGGGTCTCCCAAGCAGAGGAGTCCGGCGTTTCCATCAATAAGCCTAGCTAAGAGTAAACTAATACCGGGATCCACCACCGTCCTAGTATCGAAGTCGCATGGTGGCAAATCTCTCCCTGATCCGCAAGAGCCGCAGGTGCCTATGGTGGTGAAAATCTGGGGCAGACTTTGGCCAAGCCGTCCTCGGGATTCCGGGGAGCCATAATGGCTTAACTCTGGAGGCATTCTGGATTAATTCCAGAAATGCAAAAGTGAACCGCAGGGAAGTATACCTCATTATCACGCGTGATATAGGGCAGTATATAAGACTACTATTCTGATGGGAGGGGCACATCATGCTTCCATGCGATTTCTGTGCGGTTGGTCTCTATGTGACATACTTAGTGGAAACCTCATAGAAAGCGGTGAGTGTGCAAAGCTGTGTTCAATGTGATTGAAATCTTGGTTTCGAGTTTCTTTGTTTGGTTATGGAGGCGTCTAGCCGAGTAGATTGCTGTCAACTTGACCTTTCCAGGCTCTGAGGAAGGCGAAATCCGCCGAAACGTCAGCTTATTCGTGAATAAAGAATAATAACACCTCGCGTTTGCTCTACAAAAATAGGAAGAAAATTACTTGATCAATGCCGAGGTTAATAGAAAGTCGGTTGTGGGAAAATCGAAACAATTGCTCGAATGAACAGTCTTATATTACACCTGATGCCACTTATTTATTTATAATCTTTTTTATAAATATAATTCATGTGTGATCTGCTCATACTTATTCAGCGCTTCACATACAAAAAATTGGACGCTAGCCGTTAAACGGGATCATCGCGGAAACAAAAGTCCCATTCTCTGAAATAACGGTTATCATTTTATCATTATATTAAACTAATGGATGAAATCCTAAGTCTTCCACGCGTACAGTTTTAGAAAAATCAGAGCTTTCCTTCGATTCCATAACAGAGAGAATGGCCTGCAACCGACTCCGAACCAATGACTAACGATAGTCTTCTAGGCACGTCTATCACAAATCGTGTATCGACCCGTGGTTATTGGAGCATCGGACGTGCCCAATGTGCAAGGCGGATATCTTGAAGTATTTTGGATATCAGGTAGCTCGGTTACCAGTAGTGTCTCCTATTTAGAATATATGGTGATTATTAATAAAATATAAGCGGCGCTATTGCAAACTTCCCGGACCATTTGGAAATCATCCATATGGCTCCCTTACCACAATTCTCTTATCATCTGCCACTCTTTGTTCCTTTTCCTTAGATAACAACTTAAGTTTTGGCTAAATCGTTAATCATTCTGCGCATCAGCCATATTTGTATTTGCATTTAACACCGAAGTCACCACCGAAAAACGCCGTGCCACACCAACTCGGAAAAAGATGGAGTGAATCGGATGCAATGAAGCAGCGCTCGAATAGGACTTTTGTCGGGGGAGCTCAGCCATGGCATATGGGCGGGTAAAACTACAGCAATTTATCAACCGGACAGTGATGTTCTCCCAGCTACACTATGCAAATGTATTCTCAACTTCGCCACATTGTTTTCAAGCGGGCACATTTTGTGTTGTTAGTATGACAACAACGAAAGAGTAATTGAGGCTTGAAGGAAGGAAACAAATGGATTCGCTTTTTGTTTGCTTCATGTATTTAATTATTTGACCAAAGCTTATTTGTAAGAGGAAATAAGTCACATGACTGAAGTAAGCGGACTTGAAATAGGACTTTATTTCCTCTGTATAATTCCCTAGTGGTGGGGTTATTTTTAAGATATTGAGAAGTGAAACGACACAAGTATCTTTCCGATTGAGTTACTGATCAACTATTCCGTTTCACTTTCAAGGTGTCCACCAACGGCGGTGGAGATGCTTCACGTGTGGGAGCCGATCGGGATCGAGAAGAGTCACCAGAACCGCCTAGTTCCACAGAAAGTAACGCCGCCTATACTTTTCCACCGACTCAGGATCTTCAAGATGCATTTCATTTCACACCGAATACCTCACCACAACTGGTAAGTGTGAGAACTAAACGACAAAGATCAGAGAGACTTAGAGTGGTTGGAAAAGGTGGATGAAGTGGACTATTTGTTTTCCTTTTCTATCTATATAATTACGTGTACTTTGTGTTTTTTGCCATCACAAACTAGAAATAGCTCACATATTTTCGTAATTAACTGCAAGCGTTCGCAGTAACATGACGCACCATATTCGACGACCTATTTCGACTACATCCACATCCGATAAGCAGTTTTAGCCATACCGTATCCCCAATTTATTATTAGACATTGGGTTTTCTAACACAAGAAAAAGAACTGAAAGTCTCGGTACAAGCTTTTAGGTGAAAATGAGAGTAATATGGATTTTCAACCTCAAGACAAACAAACTGTGAGATGGAGACAAAACACTTTGTAAAATAGCTCTGACATCTAATAAAATAATAACGTAGGACATAAATTTTTTTCATGTGATATGTTACTGGTTATTTATAGGTTATGAGCGCTAATAGTGCGAAAGCGTTCACGATCGTTCCCCTTACGGTTCACTCGAAGACTTTACCACCAATAATGAACTCCGAACAAGGCACCAGTAGAGGTTTGATGATCATACTCATTCTTTCTTCTCTATAGGTCATCGTTTTCATCTTTACAGAACAAGTACGTCTTCATTACACTTTTGCACACCTGCGCGTCGAATCCTGGCACAATAAATCCTTCAATTCCGCAACTTCTCTACACGAAATGTTTCTGTATAATAATAATACCGACATCGAGAAAACAATCTGAATCTAACTAATACTGTAGTATTCGTTCACACATATAACATTCGCGACGATAGTCTAATTGTGGGTGGTCGTCGCGCTGAACAAATTTTCTTGCCGAGTACTGTGCGCATTAAATTCAATGCGCACGGTCTTTTGTGCCACCCCTAAAGAAGCCATTAAATTCAATGTTCATTACACAAACAGGTTCTATAGTAACTCCCAAGTCCGACTTTCTATTAACCTCGGCATTGATTGAATATATCTTTCTACTTCTGTTCAGCAAACACGAGGTGCTATTTTATTTCTTTATTTACGCACAAGCTGACGTTTCGGCAGATTTCGCCTTCCTCAGAGCCGCTTTCTATGAGTCTTCCACTGAGTATGTCGCGTGAAGACCGACTGCACAGAATTCACATGGAAGCGTAATGTCGAGGAAGGAAGGCGAAATCCGCCGAAACGTCGGCTCGTGCGTAAATAAAGAAATAGGTTCTATAGTGTTTGAGGTTTGAGGGTGGGGGCGGTACAGCTTTATTTATGCACCAGGGTATCAATACTCATCTTATTATGATTCCCCTGAAGAGTTACCTTCGCGTTATTCTCAGCAGCAACGGTCTGTGTGTCGAGACGAAAAAATTGTCCAAGTCTACGGGTCATCATAATAGGGATGCTGAAATATGAGCAAAACTCGGAGCCCTAGGTGGGCTATGAACCCGCGGTCACTCTTTCCTTGAGCTCATGTGCTATCCACCTGAGCGAGCGAGGCCCTTGATTTCGGCTGCAGCTTCAGCTTAACTAGTTTCAATGTCGACTTCTGCTCTCCAGACAATTATCGTCGATGGGTGATTGCTACTAGCAGCGATTGAGTAAAAACATAGCTGAGAGAAAAACAAGGTAGGTGCCTCGGTTGGTGTGGTGGATAGCACGTGAGCATCTGGAAAGGTAACGCAGGTTGAAACCTATCAGATATTACGAGTTTTACTTACATCTCAGTATCCTTATGGTTATATTTCTTATGATACTCTGCCATGAAAAAACAGTAGGTAGAAAGTGCTTAAAACACTGTGAGTTCTCTGTGTATTAAAAAACATTAAAAATAGTTCTCCACGTTGCCCGAGACAACACATGTGATAAAAAGTGTATCGATTACGTGACAAAGCATAACGAAGAAGTTAGTAGCTAAATAAATCGCCAAAAACAACATTACTCGAAATCGATGCATTTATTCTAATTCCCTCCAGTTATGTTTTAAGTTAATCCATACACTCGTCGTAGATATGTTAAGGGAAGTCCTTCAACCGTCTTTAACACCGTTGTTATAGGGGAACGAGCATCATCGGCTAGTGCACTGGAAGGACGTATAGGACCCGTACGGATGGTGAATCAAGGTCAAGTCGTTAATCTAGTGCAGGTAAGAGGAACTTATAACTAAAGAATTAAGCTCTCCATTAGTTCTGTGGCAATCTATCAGTCTGAGTAAGAGAGAAGTATTACATAAAAGACGAATGAACCAACCCTTTAAGCACCGGGTGCAGGAGTGTTCTTTTTGAAGAAAACCAACTCTCTTCTCGAATCCCATTTTATGCGAAGTACGGAAACTCAAAGAACCTTGGTACATGTTCCTGTCGAAACTGGTCAAGAAATGTCACTGATGTCTTCATCACACAGTTGTGTGACTGGTGAATAAACAGCATATTTACGGCACCGACATCCACGATAAACAGAAGATACTTAACATATGACGACCGACTGACAATGATTTCTCAATCACTAACGTATTTGACGAATTCATGGCTAAACATATCTATAGAAGAGATCTGTATAAGACTGGTAGGCACTTGACGTTCTCTGTACGAGATGTGTGGGGCATGGTGATCACTACGACCTCTATAGAAGTCATTTTTCCGGCAGTCTATTTTAGCGTACAGAACCTTTCCTCAACAATTTTTTAATTAATGGTTAGCCTCTTCAATATAGATTTTGAATGCTGTCGTTTACAGAAAACTATTCTGTAGACTTAATAATTTTAAGGACCTTTTCTCACACAACTTCACTGACCAGTGATTTTGGTGCTAATCGACAGTTATTTCATTTGTATTTGCTATACTAAATCATGCTTGCCTTAAAGAATGGCGGGTTTTGAAAGTACAGAAATAGACCCATCATACGGTGTGAACCACTTCTAAGCGCTGATATTAATGTTCTTGTATGACGGACAATAGTGAGAATACAGTAATTACTTCCTGATATCAAAATTTACTCTCTGTTGCCAAGAAACCTAGCAAATCCGTAGCAATCTGAAGTCGTCGCCCTGTACAGCATCCATGCAAAATTAGTTGTCGTCACGTGAATATTAAATGTGTTTAAGATTCTAGATTCTCAAAAAAATTTTGGAACTTTGTTCGAGTTTTGACATATCTAACACAAGCGTAGCAGTTGTAAACATGAACGATAAAGGATAAGGATGAAGCTCTCGGCGTCGATCAATCCCTCAGGCATGCGCCATGCACTCGACTTCATTAAACATTGTTTGGAGATGATTGAATACATATCTGGCTTTTACAATGACTCGCGGTGGCCTACCAATGTGTCGAGCCAGTGCTGCTATCCTCCCAGACAAGTCTGGTACCAATTTGCCAAGCGCGGAGGGATAGAAAACTTGTTGCGTCACGGGCGCAAGAATCGATCCCTTGTTTAGCTTTTAAAACATGAACAATACATTGGAAAAAGCCATCATACCAGGTAGGGCAAAATCTCGATAGTTCACTTGCTTTCGCTTTTGAAATACGAGCCATGACGCAAAAAAGTGGAATAAATGCGCGTCGTTTGCTCCAGGAAATCAGATTTTCATGTAGCAAATCCCGGGACCGACTTTCTATTAACCACGGCGCTGATCAATAATTCACTGTTTCTTTGATTTTCGGAGAGGAAGTTGTCAACAATAAAATTTATTTACTACAGCACTGGCTGAAGTTTCGGTGTGGTCGCCTTTTTCAGAGTCTCGAAAGGTCAAATGGACACGTATTGTACCTAGCCAATCACTTTAATAACCCGAACGGAAAACAAAACTTCGTACATAAATTTTATTCGTGTAATAAACAGCTTTCCTTGAACGCTAATCGTTTTGTTCTCTATAAGTCTTCCATTTATTTGATGGAGACCAGCTGCACAGAGTCTTACATGGGTGAGGAACGTGCCTGGCAAAGAGTTAGTCTGAGGGGTGGCGCTAAGTCACGCGTGATCGCTAAACACTCCTCCTAGCGGTTCAGTCTTGGATTTTTGGAATTTATCCAAGACGCTTTAAGAGTTTCAGCGCTGATGTTTTGCATTCCGGTACAAGGACAATGAGTTTTACCTCTAAATCTTCTTCGTGATGTCCCTTTGTCCTAAACTTACCTAATGGATTATTCTATCTAACCCTAAGTTTCCCAACTAGGTGGTCTTTAATACGGACACGGAGTGTTCCACCCATTTCGCTAATGTACCATCCCAGGTTCCCATAGACACATTTTCATTTTCGTAGAATGAAATTAGCTCTAACCATTTAGACAAAGACCAGAAAATACTGATGGTCTTTGTTGCAGCTAATAACATTTGGTATCACCTTTCCCTTTACAATGTGCTACCCTCAACATGTATCCTTTAGCTTTTCTTTTCTTCGCTTACACTTTAAAACAACCTTTATAATTCAGGTAAGGACGCGAGCGATGAGTACGACGGGCATTCGTGCTGCCACCTTACGCAAAACCACCGAACGACCACCAAGTCAACCTGTTCCCATAGAGGGAACTAACGGTGCTACCGACGTCGTCTGACTCTTCTACTGACCACAAACCTTGACCTCAACATACTAGTACTTGTCGTTAACTGTTTGGAACAAGACAGTGGTGTCAGTCCAAGAATCGGCTGCTACCGTATTCCTCAAATATGCATCAGTGGTGTATCTCGAATAAATCAGCGATGCGGGTCTTGACTAATCGACAAATGACGAGAAACTAGTCACTCGTCTACCGTTAGTAACCAAGTTAACGTTCACCGTTTAACAATGGAAATAATTTTTAAGCGAAACTCATGGTCCACAGAATTCTTCAGCTCTCTAAAAGTTGCTTTTCAACGAGCTCCTTCCATCAGGTTATGAAAAGCGGTCTTGATGAATATGGTAGTACCGTGCTTGTTCTGTTTCCATTTTTACCGTAATACCATTTTAACATTACTCATGTGCTCTACGATAACGATATCATTGTGTTATCATATTTCCCTAACGCTTTCAGTCTATCGATCTCAACACCAAAAATCAGGGCCATAGGACCGTACTTACTCCTACCTAGCAGTAACAGTGTGAGTAACACCGAAGCTGAACATACCAGACACTACCACGACCAGGTATCAATCCCCATTACACTTGTCGACATTGAACGGGTCAATGAAATCCTCATTTCAGCAATATAATGTAATGAACATATAGGTATATTTCTGTAAATAGAAAAATTCCAAAGGGACTTTAATACGAAATTCTCATAGCATTTCCTTCATCTGTACCAGTGCAACAATGCTGATGTTTTTTGTGTGGTTCACGGTTGTGCCTCTGAAGCAATGATAATTTTGATGCGTTACTTCTGTCTTATCGAGGTTACCCTCGTACTAAATGAATTATTATGTTTCTTTGGATGTTCGATAATTGTTATAAATAGTATGAGAGTAAATACTGAATTTGTATAAGTTTGCCTTTCATTCTGGATTGGAACTGAGCAGATCAAATGCTAATCACAGCTTCAATGATGCTGAGATATTTGCAAAACTCCGGACTTCAAGTGTTTGCGGTGAGGAACGAACGCACTATTGCCCTTTCTGGGTAGCAATATGCCCTACCATTAAAAAAGTAGGCAGTAAATAAAACGGTTAAGATTTTGATTATAACTAAAGCCTCAGCTTAACTGGGTTCATTGCCGATTAGGGCTCGCCGGATCAATCCGCTGACGGGTGATTACCGACGGCAGGATCGATAGAGTTAGTTGGGAGACAGGAGAAACGAAGGACCCACATGGTGTGGTGGTGTACGCGTTACTCCCCGGAAAGGACAATAGCGCGTTCGTTCCCCACCGCAAACACCTGCGGTCCGGAGTTTTGCAAATATCTCAGCATCATTGAAGTTATATTTCGCGACTTGGTTTGTTAAAGCTGAAAGCAGGAATCGAAGTCGACAACGTCATCGATTCGATGAATTCAACTTGACAGGTTGATTTCTGTCCTCAAGTTGAAGTTAAGGATAGAGGTTTCGGTGTTGATCAACCCCTGAGGTATGTGCTATGCACTCGACTCCATTCGGGGATCATGGAGTTGGGAGTTGGTTGAATGCCTATTTGGCTTATATTATAACTTTCATGGTCCTACTGATATATTAATTCAGTGCTGCTATCTTCCTAGGCAAGTCTGGGGCCAATTTGCCAACCCCCAACCCCAGAGCGATGCGTGACTTGATGAGCATAGAGCGCAGGATCGAATCAAGGACCACGAGTTCATTACAGGACGCCTCTAACACTGAGATACACGCACTCTCACATTACTTACGAAATCGTAAGTACTTACTAGATTAACTACAGTGCAGTCCGTCCCTTCGTCAACATTGTACATCGAAATGGTAGGTGATGTGCAACGACCATGAACTGAGATTGCAAAACTGTTAAGCTGTCTAAACAACTGATTACTCTGTACAACCAACTTGTTTGATTGCCGATTCTCATTGACAACGATAACATCTCTTTCATTTCAATGTATTGTCATCCTATTGAGCTTGAGTTGTGATTTTAAAACCGTCATGCTGCCCAAACTAGAGGGCGGATGGCACAGTGGTAGTGACGTCCGTCATCCCGAGCACGGTGCTAGTTCGACTCCACGCCAAGCCCCGTCATCCCTCCAGGGTCGGGAAATTGGTACCGGGCTTGTCTGGGAAAAAACACTCTCTGTAATCCAATTGGGTGCGCTCCAGCCTGCATATATAAAGGCTCCAGGGAGAATTGCTCTACCAGGATTCTAGGACACTCAACATGAAATGGAAATCCTCAACAAGCAACCGAAGCCGCACGTAAAATTCGAAGATCTTTGTGGACAATGGATGCAAGGAAACGAATCGAATGTGAGAAGTGCTGGGATCCGTACAGTAGATGTGAAGAAAGGTCATATAAATAAATAGATAAACTTACTCACTTATACTTGAATACTTGGACGGTCCGTCTTCACGCGTCGTGCGGACCCCAGCACGTATGTCGTTCCTTTCTCTCTCAATCGTGGTCCATTTTGGTGATCTTGTTCGAGCATGGTAGACATTGCGAGTCTCATACCGTGATCTGTAAAACAACTGTAGCTGCCAAAGTATCAACACACGTCTCCGCAGCACAACAGAGCGCTGGGAGGACCGTAGAATCAAAGAGATGAGCACGGATTTTCGGGTCCTTCAGTTAGTTGGTCGGTGGCTTCTTTGAGAGGTCCGAATGCGGCCCAAGCTGCTCTCCTTCTTCTAACCAGTTCCTCCTTCAGCTTGTTTTCCATGTCCATTGATCGCCCAAGGTAAACGTACGAGGTGGTCTCTGCAATGAGAGACCTATCCAATTCAATGTTTTCGCTTTCGCACCATGGATTTTTCGTGAACTGGGTCTTCTTTCGATTTATGCTAAGTCCGATCTTTTTCCCAGCTTCGTTAAGCTCGTTGATCATCACCTCTGCTTCGCTAGTACTTCTGAGAAGATGGCAATGACGTCAGCAAAACGAAGATTTGAATTATCCACTTCACCGCGGCACTGAACAGCTTTGGCGATATTGGGTCGCCCTGTCGAGCCCCTTTCCTATGGGTATTGTAAGAGGTCGATGGAAAAGCTGTATTTTCGTAGTGCAGCCCCGACAACGGACAGAGTCCTTATGTAGGACGGGTCCACTCCTTGGTCGACGAGCGCTGACAGGATTGCATTCGTTCCGACACTGTCAAACGCTTCCTCATAGTCGACAAAGGTTAGGACTAGAGATAAGTGGTATTCTCGACAAACTTCGATAACGCTGGACACGGTTTCTATGTGGTCCATGCAGCAAAATCCTTTTCGAAAACTGGTTGCGCCTCATCCAATGTCCTCGATATGCGCGAGAGGATACACATCGTGAAGAGTTTGTAGAGTACACCTAACAAGCATATGGGATGATAGTTACGAGGATCCCTTCGGTCTCTTTTCTTGGGCAGGATGACCGTGCGCCACGTCCTCCACTGGTCTGGGATTTTTTCCTTTTGAAGGCAGCCTGTCATATGATCTGTAAATTGTAGCCTCCAGCTCTAAGAAAATCGACAGTGATATTGTCGGGTCCTGGAGCTGTGCCTCTTTTCATGTTTTCTATCGCAACTCGAACCTCTGACGGAGGAATTCCAGATGCCTTCTCTCCAGCGGGGACATTAGGGCCCGGGACGGGGACCGTAGAACGGAAAAGGTTGGTTTAGAACGTTTCCGCTATTAATTTCATGTCATGGCGAGATGTTTTGACTATCCCATCTTCGTTCATCAGGGCTGACATCAGAACAGTGTAATCACACAAGTCCCCACGGCATTTTTTCAGACTACTTTTTTCTCTGCTGCTTCCAGTATTTTCTTCTGCTTGTACCGTTGTAGATCTTCCTGCAAAACTCTTCTGCAGCTGGCATTTATTACTAACCATGCTAAACGTGTTGCAGTAGGATCAAGCTTCAGTTTCCTTCTCTTTTCGAGCAACTCCTTAGTAGTGATGGAGATGCGATCCGATCTTCTTGCTTGAGGAACTGAGGCGAATTCAGCACAGCTTTTCAGTCCTTCGACAAGCAGTTCGTAGTTTTCGGTCGGGTCTTCTTTAACCTGACAGTCACGTTTGGATAGGACTTCGTTCAAAATGTTCTCGTCGTATACAGCTAGATTGTTTTCTCGTGGTCGATGAAGATAGTTCTTTCCTAGCCTGCGGCTGAATCGAATCTTCGCGCGGCGATCGGAACCAGTACAGAATGACGGGACTACCAATGTGTCAGGTAGGCACCATCTTCTGTTTATCAGAATATGGTGGATCTCCTCATGAGTCATGCCGTTGGGAGACCGCCATGTCCAGCGGCGGCTTTCTTTCTTCTGGAAAAACGAGTTTCCATGGAAGAGACGTGCTGCTGACAGGAGTCCAGCGAGACGGTTCCCATTCTCATTTCTTTCTCATAATCCAAAATTTCCAATCCTGTATTCGCTCTCGTTGGCCTTTCCTCTTCTGGCGTTGAAGTCTCTAACAACAAATTTATGGTATGCTTTATCATTGCCGATGACTTCCTCCAACTGATAGTAGAACGCATTTAATTCGTACTCATCAGCTGCGTCGGTCGGTGAGCAGCAGTTGATGATAGTGATCTTCTTATGATACGACAGTTGAAGACGGAGGACAGCTATGCGAGGGGAATGGATCACGTATGAGGCGACGAAATGGACAATGACGGGTGGACGGCAAGGCCTACGTCACCGATATTTCGTGACGGGACCTTTTCCCCACGAATCACAAGGATCCCGTTGTTTAGTTGGCGTATGTCGGTCTTCTTGATTTTTGTTTCTTATAATTCGATCACGTGAAATTTAATGCGATCTGCGACTACAAGAAGGGCATGAAGATTGGCGTCTGTGGAGAGGCTTCTGGTATTATACGTTCATAGTAAGAAACAATCTCCATGGCGTGTCGTTCGTGTGTTCGTCAGATCCGGTTCCAATCACGTCCTGCGTTACTCGAGATTTTCTGGCCTCTCACCGCCTGACCTCATAGACGAGAGCACCCAGTGTGC